ATTATCCATGCTGCTTTGTCGTTACAAGCAGGCTCCGATTTAAGAGACGAGGTGAAGATTTTGAATTTGTTCGATAATAGTTACATCTGATAATTACATATGTAATGGAAATATTAATTCGATCTGTTGCCAGATGTTCCAGTTTTGTTTGCAAATATCGCAAACTCAACAGCAAAAGAGCAGAGAAAATTCTTTCTGGTGGAATTACAAGTTCATTTGTCGAGTTAGCACAATTTTATTTTCGTTCACTCTTTATTCTTTTATGAAATTTGTTAAAAACTGATTAATGTATTTCTTGCAGTGTGTGAGTTGTGTGGTGTCTTATTTAGTAATTACGATTCAATTAGTCCATATGAAAATAACTTGAATATCGTGTGCCTAACATCGAGATGGATTTGATGAAGAACAGTGTAATTCTCTTTACCGTCTAATAATATCTTGACAAAATAAGTAATTAAAAATCTATTGAATTAAATTATCATTGATTAAAAATAAATGTTTGTTAAAAATTTATTTGTTTATATTTAATGGAAGCAAACAACATTACTTTCTGGTCCCCCTAAAATAAGCCAAAATAAAGCAAAAGTCAAGAATAAAAAATTGCATCCGAGCGTCTATTTTTTTTGTTATAAGATATTAACAATTGACCATGCCGGTAGGGGTGCTTAGAAGCAACGTAAGTCTAAAATCTAAATACTAATACAGGGTGTCCCAGAAAAAGTGTCAGTGCCGAAGGGAGGTAATTCTGCAAGTGTTTCTGGACAACAATTTTTTTTGGCAAAATGCAAAGTGAGGGATTGTTTTTAAATTATTAACGAAAGACTCTGACCAATAAGAGCACGTGTAGAGTCTACGCTATGTCACGGCCGAGCATCACAATCTGAGTCAACCTATCCGTGGCTGGACGCGGGCCCTACGTGCAGGGTTCTCATAATTTATCCCTTGGTCGGAAAGTGGGGGCGACGCGATCATGATGGGGACTGGTATGAGGAGAATAGTAGTGGGAATCGAAATACGGGCGAAAAAGAGGGGAAGCGAGCCGTGCGGGATAAATTATGATATCCCTGCCTACGCGTAGATGGATAAGACGTAAAACATAGAATGAGAGCAGTTGACCAGATGGATGAAGGACGAAATTAATAGTACCAATAATGAAAGAAAAGGGAACGAGAAAAACTGGAAGTGACAGCGGATTTTATGCATTTAGAGCAAAATTGGATCTGATAGAAAACATAAAGACTGCATGTAATGTGCAAAATTGAATAAAACATCAAAAGTGTAATATACATGATTACTTTTGAACAGTGTAAAAAATGTGAATTCAGATTTCATTCTTTAAATAGATGTTACAAATGTTTTACATTGCATAAAAATCCGCAGTAAACTGATGAATACATTGATTAGAAATTCTAGTTAGCTTTAGTCAATACTCCCGAAGTTCATTAAAATCAATTTATTTTTGGACTTATTCATTTCCTTCTGTTATTATCATATTTAAAAGTTTCTTCAGTTGCATACCAGCTTCTATTCTATTAAATGGTTCTTGTGAATCAACGCATTGCTCTATCAGGTACTGTAAATTCGAATACTTTTGCAATACATCCGCAGGTATGTCGTGTAGAAGACCACCAGGAAGTATATTGTTATTTGGATTTAATGCTAATAACACCTGAAAGTTAAAAAAAGTTCGAATATGCTAACAAATTAATATGGTCTGATCCACAAGAAATAAATACGTAATACAAACTAACTTTGCATATCGCATAAAAGTTGTGATCACTAATATCATTATTACATATTTCCGTAGAATCAAATGCTAAGCATTCTGGGCAAACTTGATCTTCTGTATTTACTTGCATTCGACTATTCCATGGAGTCTGTCTCTCTGAGAAACCAAAATATTGTTTGTAATCTTGTTTAGAGAAGGCCTTCTTAATAACACAATGCAATTTATGCAATATACATTAATTGTCATTAATATTCGGACACACACAAAAAGAAAATAACTTTTCTAATGTTGGATCAAACAACTTCATCTTCTTTGGGATGTTAGGAGGCCTTGTTTAATATACAATATGTAACAAACACTTGATAAAATTGCTATTCATCAGAATTTCAAAGAAAAAAGAAAGTATGATTTTTAACTTTTTTTTTAGAGCTTCCAATAAAAATGTGGAACATCCTGTTTGTACATCTAAGTTATATTGTACAATAATAAGTGGTGAAAGCATAAAAAAATTACAAACATCAAAATATGTAAAAATTTCTTAGTTTATCTCAATTGTAGACCGAAACTCGTGAATACAGCGGTTTTTGAAATTTCCAATCACTTATAGCTCATAGCAACATTTAATGATCTTTATCAAATTCGTGCTTGAATATTAATGGGACTGTATGTACCTGTATCGTTCATATTTCTATCAACAATGATTACGTTTTCTAAGTCAACAAATATTGCATTATCATTTGTATCAACTGCTATATTATCAGCGGATACGTCGGTTAAGTAAAAAGCAAAATCTGTATTTTTATACGTGAATTTGAAAGCTGCATCTAACAAGCTCGAAGCTATTTTAGCTCTATGTAACCAAGGCTGATTGTAATAAGCAGTTAATGGTAATCCAACATATTCTTCAATCACAATGCGTCCACAGGCACCTAAATATTTTGCTACAGGCCAATTGTCTTCTGCAGGTAGTATCTATAAAAATATAATGCATTTAGTACTTAACTAAATGCACTTAATTTTACTTTGAAAAATAGTTTTACTAGCTGCAAATCAGAAATAAATTTCATATGCTTATGTACCTGCAGTAAGAGAGGTTCTGGATTGAGAACTGCCAAGGTCCAAATGTTAATTTCAAGTGTATTTCGATCAACATTTCTATTATTATGATATATTCTGTCTAAAAGATAGGTTAAACGTTCTACAGTAGGGCAAAGTGTCAAACGACTTATTCGATTATCTGTTTTGAAATCCTGTAAACTAATCTCATCTTTGAGTAGCTGGTGAAAATTGATACGATCATTTTTTGCTATTTTGTTCGCTGTACAGATATGCAAGAAAGTATCGTTTTCGCAGAGCTTTCGATCGAATTCGTTCAATTCGAAGTTCTGTGCCAACTTTTTCAGCACGACTTTCTTAGTATTTAAAAATCCAAAGAACACGTTTTTTACACCAAAGAAATAAGCAAACGTGGAATGAAAGTCAAAGGGTGTGATATCCACTTCGCGAATGTGTTCGCATGCGGATTTGCCGAAGCATGCTGGACACTTCTCCAATTCTGTTAGTTGATTTACGTCCGGTTGGAACGTGGAACGTAAAAGATATTTTGAAGCTAATAAAATCGTCACGAGAGATAACAATTCCCACTTTTTAAAGTTTAATATGTTGCACACGTATGATATTATCATATTATGTTCCAATGGTTGGTGAACAGCACCAGTCCGAATTTTCCGAATGCTTTCGTCCCTGCTATTTCATCCCTGCGCTGCGGTGTCGTTTCTTTCTGTGTATAATAATCACATGCATAACGCTAGAAATGTGAAGTTAGTTCTACCAGAGAGAAACTTTCTCTCTGGTTCTACAAAAATCTTTGACGTCGGGTGTACTGCAGTTCATAGAATGTTTTTAGAGATTTTAAGTAAAATTGCTACGCATATTGGTAGTGCACAGCTTCCATTTTGAAAACCGAAGCTACTCGAAAAGCACGTTAAACTGCTCTTCATATACTCTCCGGACGAACGCGTCTGGTTGTGCGTCTCTTTCGGTGGCATTGTACTTTAAATAAACAATATTATCAATAAGCAATAGGAAATAAGTGCATTTAGAAAAATGCAAGGAACAATTATAGAAAACTTAAGCGGCAGGAAGCTCTCGGTACTCGTGATATTACTTATTATCGCACAAATAGTTTGTTTTCTAATAGGCGGGCTCATCGGTAAGTTAAGAACTGTCAAACATTTTCGGATTAATACAATACTGACTGTCAAATATAATTTGCATTTTAGTATCCAAGACATAAATAATAATAATTATATTTATTTTCATAATACAGATATGAATGATTTCAACAATTTATTTCCATAATTTAAATTTATTTACGTAGTACAATTGTATTGAGTTAATTTGATTGTTCCTTTCATTGATTATATCATTAAAAACATTAATAGAGTAAATATATTATTTGTGTAGCACCTACTCCAGCTGGTAGCCAAAATATACTTGGTACTCCTTGCAAGGATATCCGTATTAATGGTTCGGAGCCAGGAGATGGAAAATGGTTTTATTCAAGGGGAAAAGGGGCTTGTACTGCTGTTGACATGAACCGGTTTAGCTTTGACAGTCATCACCAGGCATATCAAGTTGTTTATACATTTCAGGCATGTCTCATTAAAGGGTTTTATTTATTACACAAAGCAAAGAATAATGATACACATTTTCATTCATTTTATAGATGCCTGTCCCTAGAAACAAAATGCAGCTTGATTATTCTAGATGGCAACAAAATTTAATAGGTGTCTTACAAGTTGACATTGTCTATCACAGCCAGATTGAAATTGGTAATTTATTGCATAGACATACATGTGTGTTTAATATTATATCTCGGTATACTAATTGTAATTTTCCAAAGCTCCCAGGACTAAAATTACATTGGATGCAAGACTTGCTTATAGAAACAAGGGAGATTCAGATGATGCTTGGAAACCATATGCTGCCTCTGTAGTGGAAAGGATGTTAGATTGCAGCATCAACGATGTAAAGTTAAATAATGTATTACATGAGATATATAGTAAATATCTGTACATATTTATTTTGCAGGAAATGGAACAATATAATTATAACTGCAGTACGATACCATTGTTTGAACTTGGGTCTTTATTTCACGATTATTACCTTTTAAATATTCGTCTACCCGCTGATACTGACAGAAATATTAATCAG